AAGTCTTTTGATGCACATAAGTTTTTAATTTTTAGTATGTCCCACTCATCTATTTTTTCTACTTTTGTTTATGTAGTTTTCAAACTGCTTTGTAGTCTGTGTATTCCCTGAATTAGTGCCCTCACATTTGTCCCTATTTTTTCATTGATGGCCTTCATAATTCTGGGATTCACATTGAGGTCTTTATTCCATGTTAAGTTGTTTTTTGTATAAGATGTGAGTTGAAGGTCCTGTTTCAATCTTTTGCATTTCACTTTCCAGTTCTGCCAGCACCATCTGTTGAAGGTATTTTGTCAAAAATCTGTTGGTTGTATGTAGATGGGTTAATTTCTGGATTCTTGATTCTGTTTCATTGATCTATTTATCTTTCATTGTACCAGTACCAAGTTATATTGACCACTGTAGCTGTTACATGGTATTTAAAAATATTTTTCTCCAATACCGTCATTCAAATGCATCAATTCTTTTAATATTTTCCTTATTCATTTGCCAACTTTCATATGCATATGAGTTGATTGAAAATATCGTAGCTTGAATCAAGTGCACCTTAGTCCTCAAATTGTATCTTTGCTCTTAAACACTTAAAAGAGATTTTGTGCGGTAGATTTGCTTTCTTGACTACTGCTTTCTTGAGTGTTGACTGTAGATACAAGTAAAATGAAGTCTTTCACAACGTCAGTCTTTTCTCCATCTATCACAGTAGTATTTATTGTTTCAGTTCTGAGTAATTTTGTTTTCTTTACATTGAAGTGCAATTCCTAATGAAGGCTTTAGTTTTTTTATCTTCATCAGCAAGTGGTTCAAGCCCACCTCTCTTCCATCAGGCAAGGTTGTGTCATCTGTATATCGCAGATTGTTAATGAGTCGCTCTCCAAACCTGATGCCACATTCTTCTTCAGATAATCCAGTTTCTCGGATTAGTGCCTCAGCATAAAGATTGAATAAGTATGGTGAAAGAATACAATTCTGGTGCACACTTTTCTTGATTTTAAGTCTTTCAGTGTCCTCTGGTTCTGTTCTAACAACTGCCTCTTGGTCTATGTACAGGTTCCTCATGAGCACAACTAAGTGCTTTGGAATACCACTCTTCACAATGCTGTCCATAGCTTGTCATGATCCACACAGTCAAAAGACTTTGCACAGTCAATAAACCACAAGTAACCATCTCTGGTATTCTCTGCTTTCAGCTAAGATCCATCCAATGTCAACAATGATATCTCTTGTTCCACGTCCTCTTCTGAATCCAGCTTGAATTTCTGCTAATTCCCTGTCGATATACTGTTGCAGTCATTTTTGGATTATCTTCAGCAAAATTTTACTTGTGCACGATATTATTTGGTTCCCACATTCCACTGGGTCACCTCTCTTTGGAGTAGGCACAAATATGAATATTTTCAAATGGATTGTTCAAGTAGCTATTGCCCAAATTTCTTGGAATAGATGCATAAGTGATCATCAGTTTGTTGAAATATTTCAATTTGCATTCCATCAATTCCTGAAGCCTCATTTTTGCCAATGCTGTCAGGGCAGCTTGAACTTCTCCCTTCAGTACCATTGATTCTTGATCATATACTGCCTTTTGAAATAGTTGAACATCTACCATTTTTTTTTTTTTCAGCAACTCTGTGTAGAACTTCCATCTTCTGTTGATGCTTTCTTATACATTCAATATTTTGTCCATAGAATCCATCAATGTTGCAAATCGAAGCTTTAATTTATTCTTCAGTTCTTTCAGCTTGAGAAATGATAAGAATGTTCTTTACTTTTGGTTTTCTAACTCCAAGTTTGCAAATTTCACTATAATACTTGACTTTATCTTCTTGAGCTGCCCTTTAATATTTTTTATTGAGTTCTTTTACTTCCTTATTTCTTCCATTCACTTTAACATCTCTTTGCTGAAGAAGAGGTTTCAAAGTCTCTTCTGACATTCATTTTTGTCTTTTCTCTCCTGTCTTTTTAATGACCTTTTGCTTTCTTTGTGTATGATGTTCTTGATGTCATCCCACAACTCTTCTGGTTTTTGGTCATTAGTGTCTAATGCATCAAATCTGCTCTTGAAGTATTTCT